AAAGGATCACCGTGCTACTGTGCGCCAATATGGACGGATCAGATTAGCGACCGCTTTTGGTCATTGGCAAAAGCGCAAAACCGCGCTGCTTCAAAGGAAATCGGCGCCTTCCAGTGAAGTACGTGGCCAACAGCCGGGCGTGGATGACCCGTGCAATTTTTGGAGAGTGGGTCGAGGAATTCGACCGGGACATGGGCAGGCAAGGCCGCAAGGTTTGTCTGCTTTTAGACAATTGTTCCGCACATTCCATTGAGGACACGGAGCTCGAGAACGTGCAGCTCAAGTTTTTGCCACCGAACTGCACGTCCATCATTCAACCCCTCGACCAAGGGGTCATCCAAAGCGTCAAGTGCGCGTACCGCAAGCGCCTTATCCAAAGGCTGATTTTGAACACTCGGTTGGGTCGCTAAACGAAAATCGACTTGTTCATGGCGCTCCAAATTATCGCTGCTTCGTGGTGCGAGACGGGGAGCGCCGTAGTCGCAAACTGCTTTCGCCATGCCGCATTCGCAGTACAGTGCGCCGAGACTTCCGATTCTGCGATTGAAGCTTACGATGGCGACGCAGACCGCGATGAGGACAGGTTGCTGGACCAGGACGAAGAAATCGCAGTCGCTTGGGCAGACCTGCAGGAAAGTGATGTGCCCGCCGACGTACATATCAGCGAGTTCTTGCAAGCCGACTGTTGCTTGGTGGTGCGCGAAGAAATGACGGACGCAGACATCATAAAGAGCGTCCAGGAAGATGGTGTTTCGTCGGACGATGATGACACAATCGCGCAACGTGATCCCGCACTACCACTGACTTCACAGGTGCTGGACGCATTCGATATCATCAGGCGTTGCATCGGGTCGCAGGACGACGATGAAGCAATGGCTCTACTGGCAGCGTGCGAAAGTCGTGTTGTGCCATCGCTTGGCAAGAAGCGGAAACAGGCGAAGTTGAGTGATTTTTGGCATTAAAGCTTGTTCTTTTGCTTCAGCAAGTCCCGTGTCACGTATGTATTTCATCATATCGCGACAACGAATTTCCGCCATAACGAAATTTCGCGCCCCGCCCCGTCAATTTCGTTGTAGCGGGATTCAACTGTACTGACAAAGCTGAATTGTTGGTCGATCTCCGTTTGATCGTCGAACCCATGTCATCACACTGGTCGAAGTGCTGGGTAAGCTTCATGCTTGGCACACCTTCGCGGAGCCAACCATTGATTCTGGAATCCTCGCCACGCGTCGAAACACTGGTCCACTATTTCAGTTGACGTCTACTAGGCCTGGCGCCTGAGCTCAATCTCCTGCCGGCAGGTTCCAGCCATCGTCCTTGAACCACCATGGCCACTGCAGCTCTATAACACTTAAAAATGTAGAATCCTATGATTCCTGAACGCTGTCATGGTGAAGCCTATGAAGATCCTCAAAAATTTGCTGAACTGGTTCAGATGCTCTGTGAAGTATAATCAGTGGGCCACCTCAGATGCCATAATTTCTATTGTTTATCTATCTGCAAGACAATGCCCAGACATGCTTCATGAATCAGGAAAGAAGCTTGGTTATGCGGGATGATTTCCTCACCCAGCCTCTTAAAACATTTACTAGTTTAACAGAAAAGAAAAAAACGCAACCTTTAGTGGAAGCTCAAATACAAAAACCAAGCGAGTGTTCATATGTTGGCCGAGTACATGGCCCGTCTTTTCCTCAGGGCAGATCCTGAGATGCCAGAAGACGGGAAGTTATGGTATTTCATGCGAGGATGAAGGAGCAGCTGTTTGCTGAGCTTTTGAGACATCCACCAACAAAAGTAGCTGAGTTCACCAGAAAACCCACAGCTACGGTAACGCTACCACCAGCATAACATGTTCAACTCTGTAGTGATACTCCTCTTATGGCTGCAAGTAATGACAAGTATTTGTGGGAAGTGATCTGAGAGATTCTGTGAAAGGAGCTTCGTCAGCTCGGTTTGATTCCACCACCAGAACTAAAGCCAATGTCGTCTTTTGTCACTGAAATCCGGGAAGAGGTTCGTCAAGCTTTTTATACAACAGGCTATGGTGACAATGATGCGTGGTTGCGTGCGTCGAGAGGTGTTATCACCTAGTACCATTCACGTATCACTTAGTGCCATATGCACAGGCTTTACAAGATAGGTGGTGCGGAGAGGTTTCTTGGCTCCTACGCCACACTCTTGTAAGGGGTGCCTCATAAGGTGGTCGCAAACAGTGGCGCAGCGCGTTTTTGTTGTCTCTTAAAAGCTTGGAGTACACTTTACGCTATGCCAACCGCGCAGCTGAGCAGATAAAGAAGCAGACGTAGTACAAAAAGTCACAGTAGTAATATGCTAAATTGTTTTTTTTTATTCGTCATGAGTGTGATTGTTTTTTTTTTCAATTGTTTCCGGTGAACCGAGTTCTCAAAACCTTTTCTTTTTTTAATATTGTTTCACATGTTTTTTACAAGGGCTGGATAAGCCACATGGTATGTAAAAAGGTAGTGTACTTCATACCTGGCGATAATATTTTCACATGCTTTCTTCGAAGTCCGTTCAAGTGATGTGTGTATTATAATGGCGAATTCCACCCGTCGAGCGGGAGCGAGTTTTCTTGCTCCAAAGCTGACAATCCGCGTTTTACTGGTAGATTCGGAGCAAGTTCGCATTTTACACTGGTAGATTCCGAGCAATCCACTCTGCGACAGAGCGTTCTGCGTGCTCCGTCTTGCAGAGACAGATTTCGCCGGAACTTTGAGTATGCGTTGCCGTCATTTCTGGTACAGTCGGACAGCTGGGTTACCCTCAGCATTTTTTGAGGTGGTCTAGTAAGCCTGTGCTTCTGTTTACATTCCTAAAACTGGAAAGCTCCCTGCTTTCCGCAACACTGCGTGGTCGGAATGCGTGCTTTGCAGTGGCGATACAGTTGTCATTGAAACATCGAGAGCAGAAAAGAAAATAGTTTCAGGTACAGCTTCACTAATGTATGCGTAAAAAACTTCCAGAGACCTCACGCAGGCGTTACGTGTCCCACTTGCAGATCTCGTTTGGCACACTCCGAGTGCTTGCTCCAATATTTCGGCGGCCACTCCTGATCTACCAGTGGAATTCGCCATTAGCCAATTAAAATATGCACGTGTGCCCCCACGTTGCTAAAAATTTGTTTTTTCAAGCTCCTAGGACGACATATTAAATGCTGTTAACTGCTCCAAAGCAAGGTTCATCTGCTCCAAAATTGAAATTTTGCTGCCCCAAAAACTGCTTCCAATTCAGTCTCGGCCGTCTCACCCCTGCAGATTAGGCAAGAGCGATCCCGTTCGGATCTACGCGCTTCATTTGGGATCTGGTCGAGCGCTCTAGATCTGCGATTGGAATTCAACATACTAAGTGGCCGCAAACGCTCTTGAGACCATGACATGTAAGTCATGTTGTACATGACAAGTTCGTCATGTTTGCTCATTAGGATCTGTCTTATGTTTTTATACACTCTTGTAGAGTCAGACGTCCGACACTGGAGTTTTGCAGACAGTAGCGCCACCTGCCGGAGCAGTTTTGGGTAGTGCAAAGTCTGACTCTCTTGCACAGTTTACTGCGCAACTAGGCACAACAAGTGACCACGAAGAAATGATTTAGCCAAATATTAGGTGTTGGTGCATGTAACACTCTTAAAGAGAGGTTCGAATTACTCTCCACGAGTCAGACGGACGCACAACTGAACCGTTTTGAAGTGCTTGTTGAATCGCTCGCCAGAACGACGGCAAAAAGAAGAGCAGACGCAACAGCCCCGCATGCTGTGAATAACGGCCACGGACGTAAAGCACTTCAGTTTTAGAGATTTCCATAGCTGTCGCACGCACCAGAATGGCGAGAGCGTTGGATACAGGCTGTTCAAACATGTTGGATAAGCGAATTACTTGCGTTCTTCATAGCCAGTCATATGAGAAAGTGTGGTAATGTAGGTCTCCTGCTACTGTTTTCAGTATCCTTGACGGAGAACCGTGGCAATTTTTACCATGAAGCTCTGGCTGCGGTGCAAGGGGTGCAACATTTAAATGCAGACTGGTGACGCTTGCAATGAACATCGCGCATTCCATGAGTCAAGACTACCCACTATATGAACTGGTCGTCACCACACAGCACTATGCACGTACGCATTGAAGGCCGAAAGTTCCTGCTTTCATGATTTTTATGTTGTGTCTTGTCAATCATGTTCACCACGTAGTCATGTTGTGCCATACCAATTTTGGTATGCATCCCATTAATGAAATGGTCGGGGGGCACAAAGTCGTAGGCAGCTAGATGAATAAATAAATGTGTTCAAAGTCATAGAAGTTTGCTAAGAAATGCCTCAAGTTTATAAAAGGAGCTGCCCGAAAAGGCATTTTCGCCTGCTCCCTGGACATCTCCCAAACCCATGTACTCTTACCCACCACTGTATATCACTTTTAAGAACTGACTGCATGTGTGTGATAAATAATAAATTGCCAATAATAAACTATAAATTCCCCTGCTCTGTAAATTGCTAAGTGTGCTTGCATCTTTTTGTATTGTTTCACTTTCCTCGTACCCATATCGGCCATGTCATCAAAACTGTACTGATAGAGAGCTAGATAGTGCTTTTCTGGCCACTGTGCAGAATTAATAGCCAACTTCAACGACAATTTTAACTTAGACTTGAAGGTACTACAATCATGAAGGAAAAAATAGTATAGTTGGTTATCGGAAAGCATTGGAAAAACGTCACCGGCCCATATCATGATGTGGCTGAAGAAGCCTGTTTGGTTTCATTTGTTGTAATGATCCTGGTTTCTTTTTTTTGAAGTTGCATTTGGAGTTGTAGTAATCATGGTACCATTCAGTTATTATTCTTTAGCTAGGCATCAATAAAAACCCAGTCAACTTTGAGAAAGGCAGTTATTTTCAAGTTATATTTAATATCAATATTGCATTTGTCTTGCAAACACTACGGTTACTAGGTTACTAGAAAGTGTGTGTAATGGCAAGTGCTGCTCATTCGACAGGGTGGGCCACCGCCACCACCAAACTTTCAGAATGGTGGTGACACTTACGGAGGAATGCCACCCCCACGGCCCCCCATGATGCCCCCACCAGGGTTTGGCATGGGACCGCCTCCACACCAGCAGCAGCACCCGGCCCAGCAGCCACCCCCAATGAGCGGGCCCCCGCCACCTATGGGGGGGCCACCTCCAGCCTTGGGACCACCCCCGGGTTTGCCACCACTAACTTCTATGCATGCACCATCTTCAACAGGGGTCATGCCACCTCCGCCACAGCAACCTTGCCTTGACCTCTCTGGCGAGATATGGGTGGAGACGAAAAATCCCCAAGGAAAGGTAAGCCTCTAAGTTATCCAGGGTAAAAAAATTTCTTACTACAGTTGAACCCACTTATGAAAATCTGAGATTTAATAATCTCTCAGTTAGAGCGACCATATTTTGGTGCATTTACGGTTTTCTATGTTGCCAATTGAAACTTTCCTCATATAGCGAACATTTTAAAGCCTCCTACATTCGCCAAGAATGCTTCAGACATGGTTGGGTAAAAATGTGGCAAAAACAGACCTTCTGAAGCATGAGAGAGCACGGCCGGACTAAAGAGGTGTGCGCCTGTTTGCCTTTGCATCCCGGTAGTAGAGAGAGTTTCACGTGTGCCCCGATAGTGAACTCACCTCGAAGATACCCGAAATCTGTGTGCGTTGTACGCTTGCTGCGAATTCTGCGAGTGAGGTTGCTCACTTTGTAAGCATTTCTTTAGTGACAGAATGGCAGTGAGGTAAAAACAAATAGGAGGCAGTATGAAGACTTGCAGTCAGCTTTTGCATGGCAACATTTTCTTTCTACAATGAATCATGCCTTAAAATGCAAGAAGCCATAAAAGGGTTCTTGCATGCTTGCTGAAAGTGATGACCGCGATAACTGTTCTTTTCGTAAAAGTTCTCTGCATTAACGCTGCAACATGTAGCAAAACATACTTCGTCTTTTCAGTCATGGCAGAGGCCAGTCGATAACTGATCACGACTTCTGTTTGATTGCTGAGAGTCCTTCGCGGATACGAACTAGAAAAGAATGAAGACGACGTGGGGGCTGGTGATAAACGTGCCATTATGACTTATCGCCGACAACCTTATCACAGTCATCAGCAGCTGTGTACTTGGCAGCATGTGTGGCATAAACTGTTCGAGTTGTTGGTGGTACAAGCTGCACAAGTGTGCGATGCTGCAGTTGGCAAGTTTGCTGCTACCGCGCTGTGTGCATTGATTTTCAGAAACGAATGTAGTTCGGTGATGTTGAGTGGCGCGGCTACCAAGAAATGACGCCGAGAGCCAGCATATAATGGGCTTTATTAGGTGACAACCCAAACGTGTTACGTCTCATCGTGCAGGATCGCCACAGTAACGCGGGTACATATACAGTGGAACTTCTATTATACGTGCCCTGGTTTTGCAATGACCCACAATGCGTTTGCTACGAATCGGTTTAGTCCCAGCAAAATCCTCATAAAAATAATGTATCAAAAACCTTTGTTGCACAATGCAGTTTACGTCGACCCCGCGTCTTATGACAACTTTTAGATTGTGTCTGAAAGAAAAAAAAAACCACCTTTACTCGAATCAAACATAGACCAAGTATTCATGGCTGTATTCAGATAAGAACGTCGGTGCATGTTCGCCGACGCCTTTAATTTCGTCAGAAAAAATAAATTTTGTTTTCTGAGTTCTCAGGACCACAAAACCACTTTTGGTTCTGCGAGAACAAATTTTACCTTAAAAAAAATTCAGAAGTGTCCACTGAGCTGCAACCGCCTATTTCCAATTTTGTAAAAATGGGATTTCGGCAAGATCCCGTAAAATAATTGTTGTAGCTTTAGGTCTTAAAAGTTTAGGCCAGATACTAAAAATGCTTTTCTTTGATAATCCGTCATTACTTTGCAGTTATGGCGCTGTTCTTTCAAGCAAAAAAGTTGCGAAATCGTTATATAGCTCAATATTGCTTAAATTTTATATTTCTTTTCTCCGCGCGTATGAATGTCGGACTTCCCGAATGTTTTGAGAGTGTTGCCACATAGGTTAACGAACTTGCAGAACGTCGTTACTGAGGGTAACGTCAAACGTTAAGGAGAAATATTTAAGGAGAGACACCGGTTTTGAATATTTTTCTTTAGTTTGGGTATTTAGAGCTGAAAATTTTATGTGATATGCATTTCTCACAGCTGAAAACAAATATTCAATTAGTTCTCAGCTGTCAGTTCCAGATTTTAAAATATTGACTGGTTCATAAACTTACATTTTGCCCACTGTTTAGACAGTTTTCTTATAAAAGATTGCTGCAAATTAGATATGGCAATGTTATGTGAAGAACAGGAAGTGCAAGGAAACCATAATTTTATTTTTAGCTTCATTGGTTCGAGAGTTATGGCCTTAACAAGTAGACTCATTGGAAATCTGAAACTGTTGCTTAATTATATCACTAATTAAGCCCCGCCGCGGTGGTCTAGTGGCTAAGGTACTCGGCTGCTGACCCGCAGGTCGCAGGATCAAATCCCGGCTGCGGCGGCTGCATTTTCGATGGAGGCGGAAGGTTGTAGGCCCGTGTAATCAGATTTGGGTGCACGTTAAAGAACCCCAGGTGGTCAAAATTTCCAGAGCCCTCCACTACAGCGTCTCTCATAATCATATGGTGGTTTTGGGACGTTAAACCCCACATCAATCAATCAATCAATTATACCACTAATTAAATCACTGTTCTTAAGTGGGCAGACTGGTCTTTGGGAGTAAAAAGTGACAAAAAATTTTATTTTTTAAAATTGACATATTTGGTTTCTGCAAGTATTTTTTCTATCTCTCTGCAAATTTTCACACACCAGGAAGTAGTAATATTTTTGTAAATGTTATTCTAACTGACTAGATTCTTGGTGCTGGTAACATGCAGAACCTGCAAAAAAATGGGAAACCGACTTCGAGGCTTCTTTATGTTTGGCCAGCACCAGTGTTAGCTCTGCTACGAATTTATGAGCACCTTTATGTGGATTGCAAAACATGCGCACCATGATTGTTGCTTTTTTGAAGAAGCTGCGTGTTTTCAGTTTTTTCCATTTTTCTCAAAAAAGTAAATTTACGACTGTTCAATTTTGAGGCCTCAATATCTCTGGAGCTAGGGCGGGTACAACAATAATTATTTTTGCAAGTATGGGAGCAGAATTTAGATTTAGAGCACAAGCTTTTTTAATTAATTACTCATCAAAATTGTAACACAATTCCAACTGCTTTCGAAAATTGATAGTTAATTTTGCTGTAAAATAACCAAGAAAAGCCTAAGAACAAAAACTCTTGCATACTTTCACTCTATAGTCATTAGTCTATGTTGGAATATCTTAAATATCACTTTTAATTAAGTTCTTTTTTCTATGGCGGCCTTAAACAATAGGGGGTGAACTTATCTCAGGAACAAGATGAGTTACAGGAAAACTAATAAATATTTGAAATCAGTAGTTTGACCAAGATCACTGCTGCAAAAATTATAAAAATCTGCAAAATTATCAAATGCTGCTAAAATTATCAAAATCTAACGACTATATCAAAAGATACTGTGGACAATCGCCTCGGACTTGATGAAAAATGTTGTTTTGAGAAAACAAGAAAAGAAGTTTAGGGGAGGGGGACACACACGGTGAGCATGTATATTTAACAGGTAGGGGTGTAAATCAGTGTAGTAACGATGCTAGAAGCCACCGGGAGTGCAGTCATCATCATTCTCCGTGCGCTTTCTTTTCATTGCACGCCAGATGTTTCCAGGGTTTCTGTAGTTCAGATCGGCATACTGCTCTATGACGGTGCTCGCACAGTCGACTGGAACGTGCGCGGCAACCTTTTACGAGGCAGGAATCATTTCCTTGTTTCACGTAATATTTGTCTTTGCATCTGCATGAAACATTCATGGTAAAAAAAAATGCAATTCAACGCAATTTGTTTCTTTGCTGTGCCGCGCGAACCGCGAGCACGCTGATCTCACAGGCCACACGCCACATAATGCATCCCCCCTCACTCTCGACGTACAAATTTCAGTTCCCCGCACTCATCACACATCAGCACAAGTTTTGTAGCAATGTTATATTCCTGGATCTTTCTCGGAAATGCTGCCAGGCCCGCCACACACCGCACTTCATACACTGAAGCAGCTTACGACGGTGAACGGCATTCCAGTAGTCGTGGTCGCTTCGAGTCTTGAAGAGCAGACCGCTCGTGTTGTGAGGCTGACGTCGACGAAAGGTCTCTTTGGATGTCACTTGCACGACACGCAAGGGCCACTTTTTCAGCGTCGGAAACCAGGGGAGTGCCGGCGCGCAAACCTCGCATGTGATCGTTGACCCCGGCTATTGCGTCTGTGATTACGGGGGCCGTGTTCATGATAGTGTTGGCACAGCCAGCTTTTTCCATGTTCTCGGCAGCAGAGGGTTTCGCTGATAAGACGCTGCATGCTCTCAGACGTCATTTTCTCTTTTCGAACGCATGAGCAGTATGGAACATTCGATGACCGCCTGCCATCGCACCGGTCGCACAGCCGTCGCTTAGGCCTTGTCACAAAATGGCCGATTGTGCACCGCTGTCTAGCAGACGAATCCCTTGATATTCAATAGGGAACCGGGAATGGCCCCATGTGATAGAAACGTACCAATGATGTGCAAGTGTTTGATTTTTCCTTAGTCGCGACAGCTGTGTTGTTGCTAGACGAAAAGCGTTCTTCTGCTAGGAACAAACAAAAGAAGAATACGGCTTTCAAGTAAAACCAAAATGGCCGCTTTACTTGGCGTGGTTCTCAAGCGCCGCGGCGTCGAATGTGATTGCTTTTGAACTGGTTTAGTGAGGGGAAATAGTCACGAAACCGACTTTGAGATCGAATTACTAAATAAATACACATTATAGTAAACTCCCATTAAACGAAACTCTCATAAACAAAATTGCTGCTTAAATGGAATGACTGTCTCTAATATGATTGGTTTCGTATTTGAATATTGTACCCCTGTTTATCTCTGTAAACGAAACTCCTCCTAAATGAAACCCATTTTCCTGTTCCCTTCAGGTTTCAATTAAAAGGAGTCTACTGTACATGGCAATAGCATTTTAGGAACACCTTCTTCAGGCTCTATATATTATATAAAAAAAAATACTTCAAAATAGGTTTTTTCAGAAATTTTTTGGCCTTCAAGGCCGTGTCTCCCTTTAACTGAGGGCATGTCTCTGAAAATGCAATACTGCCACGTTCGTTTGCTATTTTTACTTTTGTTTAATTCGGTTTTCGCCCACAAAGCCTGTCAGGAATGCTCAGCGCAAACTGCG